GACCTGCAGAAGAAGGGAAGTCAGTCTATGACCTCAGTTCCTCTTACTATCCCATCATAACTGATGGGTTATTGATTTTACTACCTGGAGATCTCTCAAACTGTCCATCTAACCTAGGTCAAGCTGTCATCCTCTGTAAAAACATCCTCTGTGTTCTGAATTATAGCAATCTTGTCAATGGCCTTTCCTTGCATTTCTTTCTTTCTTTCTTTCTTTCCTTCCTTCCTTCCTCCCTCCCTCCCTCCCTCCCTTCCTTTCTCCTTTCCCCCACTTCCCTGCTTCTCTTTTTTGGTCAGTCATGAGGCTTGAACTCAGGACCTGGATACTTTTTGCTCAAGGCTGGCACTCTTACCACTTTGAGTCACAGCTCCACTTTCAATTTTTGAGTGATTATTTGGACATAAAAGGCCCACAGGGGCTTTTCTACCTGGGATGGCTTTGAACTATGATCCTTAGATGTCAGCCTCCTGAGTAGCTAGGATTATAGTCACGAACCTGGCTCCTCTCTCTCTCCTTCCTTTTTTTCTTTCTCCTCTCTTACCCTTCCCTTTCATTCTCATCAGTATCAGGATTTTAACTTAGGGCTTTTTAGCTAAACAGCTCACAGATGGTGCTCTATTACTTGAACTATACCTCCAGTCCAGCTTTTTTGTGCCTGAATTGGGGCTTGAACTCAAGGACTAGGCATTGTCACTTAACTTTTTCTGCTTAAGGCGTTCTACCACTTGAGCTTTAGCTTCACTACTAGCTTTTGGGGGATGATTAATTGGAGATGTCTCACTTTCTTGCTCAGGCTGGCTTTGAACTGTGATCTTCAGAGCTCAGGCTCCTTAGCAGCTAGAATTACAGCCACTGGTGCCTAGAACTGCTTTTTGGCTGGTTAATCAGAGGTAGAGTCTCTTGGAGTTTTCTGCCTGTACTGGTTTGGCACCCAGATCCTCAGATTTCAGTCTCCATTGTAGCTAGGATTACAGGCAAGAACTACCACTTTCTAGCTTGCCTTTGATTTTCCTTAATGCAATCTCGGATATTGTATCCAAGAGATCTTTGAAAAATGTTCATAGGATTCTATTATTTAAATCCTTTGATGTTTTCCCATTTTTTATTATAAAGATCCAAATCCTCAATATGGCTTACAATAACCTATATAACCTGAACTTTTATCTTCATCTCTTGCTACTTACTACTGACTTTATTCACATGCACATGGTCTTTCTTTGGTGGCTTAAAATGAGCCCTGCTAGGGTCTGGTTTATGTTTTTCCATTTGCCTGGAATATCAGGTAATTCTTTACAATATCATCATTTCCTAAAGATGTGTCTTTAGACATCCAACTCAGCTCCTACTGGCCACTCTCATACTACCCTAGACTCCTTACTTTAATAATTGAAATAATTGTATATTTATTCATTTTACATTTGTCTTGCTAATGTGAATATAAGCCAATAAGGGCAAGTATCAGGGCAAGGGCTCTTAGTCACCAGCACCTATCAGGAATTAAACTCAGAAGTTCAGATACAAAGCGAGTACCTCTATTTATTTTGTTTATTTATTATAGGTTGTAGGGCTTGAACTCTGGGCTTGGGTGCTGTTCCTGCGCTCTTCAGCTCAAGGCTAGCCCTCTACCACTTGAGCTACAGTCCACTTCCAGTTTTCTGGTGGATTATTGGAGTAAGAGTCTCACGGACTTTTCTGACTGGGCTGAGTTTGAACTTCGCTCCTCAGATCTCAGCCTCCTGAGTAACTAGGATTACAGTCATGGGCCACTGACACTTGGCTTCAAAGCGAGTACCTTTATTGACTATATTTTATTGCTGTATTTAGTGGACACATGTAAATGTCTACTGAATAGAAGTTTTCAGAGGGTTTCTCACAAACAAAATCATTTATAGAGCACTTCCATAGAAAAGTTTAATTTACCTAATAATAAAGCAACAGCAGCAGAAGCAGCAGCAGCAGAATAAGGAGAAGAAAATTTAAAAAAATATATTTTTTAAAAAAAGGAGATAGACTTAATATGTAGTCCTAACTGGACTCAAACTCAAGATCTTCTTGTCTCAACCTCCTAAGTGGCAGAATTACAGGTGTGTGCTAGCATGCCTGCTGAGTGTACTTTGATATCATCTCTACTGGAAACCTAAAAAAAAAATGTTGTCAATCTCTTTAGCAATAATCTGTCCAAAGGTGCATACAATTAGCTATTTGAACAAGTTGAAAGTTGAAATGATATTCTAGGCCTTCATATCTCTTAGGCTTATAAAAATTTAGAAAAACATGTTTAAGATTACATACGTATATACTTAATAATACTTTAAGAACTCTTTCTGTGTTGCCTTAATCAATCTAAAATTCAAAAAGAGCAAAAAGAATAAACATTAGTTCATGCTTTACCATTCCTAGCTAAATGGCTAAATAACACAGAAGTCAATTTCTTTTTAAATTATCACCTTGATCACTGCAGGTCATCATTTCTGAATGCTTTTAGAAAGAACAAAAATGCACAGAATGTAAAATTGGACAATGCCCCCTCCATGACTTAGCTCTACTACTAACATAAATGCTCTCACATACATTTTCATTTACAGTTAACAAAATTTATACTTGCCAACTGTATAACCTTGTTTAGAGTTTGTGATGATCTTTGTATTGGAACAAGAAAGGTACTAATAAATATCACGACTCAAATTGTTAGTAAAATATTTGTTGAGGAATGTATGATTTTAAGAGAACTCCCAGCCATTATCATTGCAATACTCTAAAATAGTAATGGGGAGATTCTGAGATGTTTCATGTATTTTTAGCATATCAGCTATTTAGATTCATATAGATCTTAAGAGTGTGTATATATGATTTTGGGGCAATGATGAGAAGAAACAATTGGTTCCAATGGTAAATGATCAAAAACACAGGCTCTCTATGTATATATATATATATAATATATATATTATATATATAATTGGATGGATTATGGTATCTGTATCTGTCTATCTAAACTGTAATCCATCTAATTCAGTCTTCCCATGAACCCACAATGAACAGATGACCAAGTGGCCTTGAGTCCAGTTGGACAACATAGTAAGTCCATCTCTTTAAGGGAGTGACTGTGAGCTTTTTCTGTAGCTAACTGGCTGTTTGTGCACTGAGGAATCCCAAATACTTCCTGGCAAGACAGGTACATATCCAGATGTGAAAGACCAGTTTCATCAAGGCTAGCTCACTCATGAAAGAGTTCTTAAATAGGGAAAAATTTGTAGTGAGAAAATTCAGGGCTGTCAATTCACAAGTAAGTATGTATGGGACACTGTCCTGTGGACCATCAAGCACAGCCTTTGTATTTATTTTTCCTTTTTAATTTTTAAGAAAAAATCACTTTAAACCTTTCACTAAACATACAATTTTTGTACTGTGTTTGTGGCAGTATTGAGTACTAAAATTAAGGCCTCTTGACTTGGCCAGAGTTCTACTGCCTGAGCTATACCCGTCTTTTTATTTTTATTTTTTTCCCTTTAGGTTATTTTTCAGACAGTGTTGAGTTTTAGCCAGCACTAATCTCTGGTGGTGATCCCTCTACCCATGCCTCCCCTCAGCAGGGAGGACAGCCAGAAACCACCATGCCCAACCCTCCATTAGTGATAGTTAAAAATTATCTAAAAATAAATAATAATTCTAAATAAAAATACATTTCAAAGTTGTTTTCCAAACATTTTTTAAACACTCTTCATTTGAGGTTCTTCACGACTTAAACGTCCTTGGCTTGGTGTACGTTAACTTGGTGAACGTTAACTTCAGGAGAGCTGGTTACACGCTGAAGCTTGAACTCTGTCTAGTCTACTGCTCAATTTGTGTTACTTCTTTCTAGTCATTCTGGGCTGGTTCCTTCATTCCACTGGCACATGTCCTCTGTGTCTTGGTGCTGCCTAAGGATTTAAATTCAAACAGTACCATAAAAATACAATCAGGGTTTGTTTACAGCAGTCAATTTTCATTGGCTCTACCACGGGGTACTCAGACCATGGTTTGAAGGTTTGGGTTTTTCACATTTGGCTCACTTCACTGCAGGCTGTCTCTAAATGATGTAGACGGATTTTTTTTTCTAACCTGAGAACGTGACAACTGTTTTGGTTGGGGTGTGCCATGAATCAAACTGAAGGGCAGCCACAGAATCTCGCGCCGTGGAACGGGGCTCAGATCCGCAGCCGGAGCACACGGGCCTGCCGAAGACCCCCCCCCCCCCCCCACGACACGCCTGCCCCTCGCCACAAGGTGTCTCCGGGTTTGATTTCGCATTCAGGGCGCGAACTGAGAGCAGGAGCCGCCGCCTCGGAACGTCGCGGAGACTGCGGCGACGCCGGCACGGGAGGGGGGGGGCCGAGTCACTCAGGGCCGGCCCACCTCGTCGGGTTTGCAGGGCTTCTGACAGGGGTCGGCCTTCCAAAGGGCTTTGTTTTTGAGCAGACGTGACCAGCTGAGAGCCGGGGTGGGGGGTGGGGGAACCCAAAACGGGGGGGGGGTCCCACGGGGAGGTCCCACCCACTCGCCTCCAACCGACTTCGTCCTCCTTCCCGCCCACGAGCAGCCGCCACTACAGCTCCCGGCAGGCACTGCGCGGGCCGCCGGGCGCCGCGAGACTCCACCCGTACAGAGCATGCTGGGAATCGTGGTGTAGGAAGGGCGCTACTCGACTTCTTCCTTCTATTAGGATCCCCTCTTGGAACTCCACGACACACCACCGTAGTAGGCTCTCCGGCTTCGCCCTAGTCGATAGTCGTCTCAGAAGATCGCACCTCCTCCCCAGCTCAGCGCACCGCGTCCGACCCTCGGCTCCGCCCACTGCTCACACCCGTTCTCTTGACAGCTAGACTACTCCCGGAGCCGCGGCGAGGCCCCGAGTGCGAGTGCGCAGGCGCACTAGCGCCGCGCCGCGCCCAATCGGCCCTTGGGGCGGGGCGAGCGCGTGGGCGCTCGGCTGCGGGGGCGCGCACGTAGGCACGCAGAGCCCGTCACGTGGGACGCCGAAGATCGCAGTGCGCGTGGCCGAGGCGACTGGTGTGGGGTTGAGTCAGTTGTGACACCCGGAGCTGCGACCCGGCTGGCGGCCCACCGAACCCGCAGCAGGGCCGCAGACGTGGAGACCCGGGAGCCGCGAGCCTGGCCGCTTCCTAGAGCTCCGCAGTGCCGGCGCCGCTCCCACTCCCCGCCCCCGTCAGCGAACCGCCGCCGCGGGCGCGCCCCCGCTCTGCGCTGTCTCAGATGGCGTCCGCCTCCGGGGCCATGGCGAAGTACGAGCAGATCCTAGTCCTCGACCCTCCCACAGACCTCAAATTCAAAGGTGAGTCGGCGGGGTTCGCCCGGGCGGCGGGGTCCTTGCAGGCGGCGG